TGTACTTTTACATAAGTGAATAATTTTCATTGAAATTGGGTCACATTTTGTTATGCTTAAAATGTTGATGACCACTAGCTATAGATTTTTCTCAACCAATCGCGATGTGAGAGTTTTATTGATTGTTCTAGAACCCACGAGAAAAACACATAATAAAAAATGTTCATTGTGGTAAACGAAATAATAATTTGATTTAAGTAAGAGTTGTTTTTTTTCCTAATTTGTAAAAACCCCTTACGTGATAGAAAAAGATGAATGTTATATTCAAAATCTGCATAGCTGAATAATGGAAAATCCGTTATAAAAACCAAAACAACTTTTGTGTATGAAGTTTAAATTTGCAGGCCTGTGTAATTGATCCTATTTTTTGTTTGTTTATAAAATCGTAAGTACAGAATAATCAATTTTGGTAAGTTTTAGGACTAAAAAGTTGTAAGGCTGGTTAGATATTTGCTAAAATTGGTTATTTTTTCTTCTTTTAATTGAGCATTTTGAACCCAAACTCTTGTGATTAATCAGCCTGTGAAGGGTTTCTGCAGTAATCAGTGTAGCTCAGTTCCCAGAACTGTCTTTGTGTGGTCCAACTGCTAATGCAACTAAGTTTTAAAAAAAATCATCATTTGAAATAAACAAAAAAATATAAGTTCAAATGTTAATTTCTGCACAGCTGTGAGAAATTTTTCTTGTAAACAAAACATTCATCAATTTTCCAGTATTTCTGCTCACCCCAACTTAAAGCTTTTATTTGTTAAGAAATTATCATCCTTTGGAAATGTAATGAGTTTTCCATCCTTGTCTGTCGGAATCCTATGTTGTCACTATGATTTCTCAGCATGTCGTCTGAATAATTACTAATTAAGCTTAGCTTTGAACATAGTTAGAGCAAATGGCTAAAAATGATTGGATAAAAGAGATTATTATTTATCTACATTGGTATAAGGTATACAGAATAGTTGTAGCAGTAATTTGTGGTTTGTCAACATATTAGCTACCAGGAACTTGCATTGGGTTGTACAAAGGATTCTAACATAAAACTTACAAATCTGAAAATTTTTTGTTACTTTAGAAATTTTTTTTGTTTTTTCTTGAGAATGTTTTTGGCTTTAATTATATCTGTTTGGAAACCACAAGAATATTCTTCTGTGACAAGATATCAAACTTGTGTTATTAGGTTTAGTGAGTTTTATAAGTAACAGGTCTTTTATTTTTGAATATATTAAGTTTATTGTATTCAGACAGCACACAATAATAAATTAATGTATAATTGAAAAGGAACTACAATAATTATCTATAAATTGATTTTTACCAAGAATATTGATGACAAATGTTATTAAACAGTGTCTATTAAAGGTAGCAGTAAGATGAAGTTGTAGGTTGCCAATAAATCTTGTTTTAGTATTTTTTATGATTTGTAACTGGAAGGAGTGAGTCAGACAAAATATCAAAAGAAATGTGTACTTGATTACCAAACAACTTGAAACTGATTGGATATATAAAATGGAATGTTCTGATTGATAACTAAAGCAACTACTAAAATTAGTGTCTTTTATTTTAAGTATTTCCACTGTGAAAAGGGAAAATTCAGAGGATATCAGTGACATTTATCTGATCTTGAGAGTGTTAGAACTAAATTGGCCTTGTTAGTACAAAGCATGCATTTATTAGTGTGCCACAGTATTAGTCTTTCATTGTTTCATTTGCTTTCTTTAATGATAAAAATCAAACTATATGTTTAACAATGTATTTTATAAACCACTGTAGGAAAACTTTGTGTAGTATAATTTGAATTACTTACTTTTTAAAGTTGAGCTAGTCACAAATCTACTTGCAGAAGGACAGCATTTGTCTCTGGTGGAGCTAGCAGCAAAGGAGGTTGCAGCTAACATTCCCTTTGAAGTCGTAGAGAGAGTCTATCCTCCTGTACCGGAACAGTTGCAACTGCGTATAGCATTCTGGAGTTTTCCTGAAAATGAAGAAGACATTAGGTATCTTTAACCTGTTCTTTGTATTTTTTCAACAAAAACTTATTGTCTTATGATGATGATGCTATGTCATTCAAGTATAATTAAAATTTGTGTTTACTGCTTTGGTATAAAATGAAATTTGTTCTAATAATTTATAGTTGGTCTGTTTATTAATTTACATTTCTAAAGTAGAGAAGATATTTCTTTTTTTTTGGTAATTTTGGAATTAGATATGATTTTGAACACAAAAGTTATCTTCAAGCTTATAAAGATTATATATTGTACATTTTATAATCATAATGCTTTAATGATAGGGCAGTAATATTACCAAAATCTAGCTAATTTATTGTGTGAAGAATAAAAGTGTGTCTTTATGGTGTAATAAACACAAATGTATTAAAATTGCCATTCTCTGCCACTTGGAAATAATGGTTATTAAATTGTGAAACCTATGTTTTAAATTCTTTAATAAATGTGAATAAATATATACATATTTGCTTTTTGAAAAAAGTGGATATATATGTATGTGTACAATATTACAAATGGGCAGGTATGGTGTAATTTTACTTTTTCATAATTGTTTGGTTTTTTCAGTATCTTCATGATATTTTTTCTTTATGTACAGGTTATATTCTTGTTTGGCAAATGGAAGTGCAGATGAATTCCAAAGAGGAGAGCATCTTTTCAAAGCAAGAGCTGTAAAAGAGCTACTACAAATAGGTATGTTTCATAAAGTTTATTAATACATATTTATTACAAGATTATTAAAAATTGATAATTTTAAAATTGGGAATAGGGATCTTTAGTGTGTTTTTTGTCTACCATGAGTATAAATCTGTATAATAGCAATATTGTTCTATTTGAAACATTTTAGTTTAATAAAATGTGTAGTTGGTGTATGATGCTCTCTTGGGAAAAATGACAATTTTTGGACTGACTTCATGCATATTGGATGGCTATTGCTCCTGATATCATTGCACCAATGTTACCATTGATAGTGGTACTACATGTATGATCACTATGATGTATGGTATTCAACATACCATGTGATATATATATGCTTGTAAAATATATATAGCTACTATATTTATACCCTGTAGCTATATGGGGTGTCTGTAAATATTGGATTGTAGGGACTACTGAACAATACTGGAATGGAGCATGGACTGGATTTTGTAACTGCATGAGTTTTATACATGCATGCAGGTGCAATGCATATATATTAAAGGTGTGGCAATACGATACTCATATCATATCATGAAGCCTTAATATGATTGTATTGATACATTGTCTGATACAATACGGTTTATGTATCTTCACGAAATTTGGTAAACTTTCAGTAAACATTATAAGTATTTTGTACAGAAAAAAATCAGAATTTCTAATAAAGTATTTTTGCCAAAAATTAATGATTCAATAAAAGATGAGTATTGAGTACTACATGTTGTCATCATTTCTTTTATCAAAAACATTACATGCAAAGTAACATAACAAATTAACAATAAAGTAGATAGACAGATATTAACTTTTTTTATTTTACTTCTCTTGTCAGCTGCCATTTAATTGATCAAACCTGAGAATTTGAAAAAGCACTGTAAAGTGTGAAGTACTTAAATAAGACAATGTTAGTAATATAGATAATAAATTACATACAAGACTGTCAAACTTTGTAACAAACCCTTGGTAAAAACTTTTGTATTTAGATACGTATCGTATCACAACATCAATATCTAGATACGTATCATATCGACTACTATGATGAGATATGCACCCCTAATAAATATACGTGCAAACTTTATAGTTTTTTTTTATTTTAAAGCTATGTATATAGATAGCCATTTGAATTTTTCAAGTTGTATAGATGCATGTATATATATTCAATGCAAATGTAGAACAATGTGCCATAGTATAATAGCATATGTATATAAATAAGCATTCTAAAATATTTCCTATAGTTTTCATATTTCCCCCTTTCTCTTCCTCCTTTCCACTGGCCATAGTGAGGCCAGTCATGGTTTTGCTCTAGCTGGCCAGGTTTCCTGTTAGTGACATTCTGTACACTACAAGTTCAAAACATGTTAATTAACAGTTATGAAGTGATTACATTTATATACCTTTTCTCCCCCTTCAATTTCTGATGGAGTTTGGGTTGTGACAGTTTCAACCCTCTTCCACCGTGATGACCCTAAACTCTGGTGGGCTGTTGCTGCTGCATTCTTTATCTGAAACTAAATATTTTCTAAATAGAATATATAGCTACAAAGTTTCTGCTTCACTTTCGCCTAGAATTGCCATAATTTTCACTATCTCCTGCTTGCACGATTCTTGCAACTCCTTATAGTTAGCTCCAAGAATGGTTACTCTATCTGCAGTGTCTATAAAATTCACAGTCAGTGCAGTGTTAGCTATAATTCAACATTTACCATCAGCCATCAGTGTGATTGCCGATCCAATGCTCGAAAGTGATCTTGGTGCTATCTTTTAAACTACAGCTTAAAGATTTCTGTTGTGGAAGAGATCCTAGACATTTGTATGACATTTTGATAAGTGACATAAATACAGTTGCAACAATAAGTTAGTAACCACTATGGTACATGTGTCATGCCTGCCATATGAACATTAACTTGTATCCATGGCCTGCACATAGCTACATACATATGCATGTAGTAGATTATGAGGTACATATAAACCATAACTACATTAAAATGATTGGATGTCAATGGTTATACAGCCAGTTATTTGCTAGGTAGTCAAATAAACTTAAAAACTACCCTACACAGTGTGCAACGATACATATAGTATTATTGCCCAGGTTTTATTACAATACTCAAACATTTTTGCTGTAGGCTGGCAGAACAATTTTATATAATAAGAAAGACAAATGGGTGATCCCTATTATGAACCACTCGCATAGTTCATGATATTTTGTTTTTGTAGATCTGTACAATTGTGTTTGTATCCATGACCAGTTTATGAGACATGACAAAAAACTTGTTTTTAAAACTTATTGCTCAGTGGTTTATTCTTAATGATTAAATATTCCTCTTTACAAAAATAGGTATGTATTGAAGTTGTTCATTGCCATTCATTAATTGCATTTCATGAGGATTAAATACAAGCTGTATTTGACTTAGCTGGCAGGTAGGGAATGATAGTTGTAATATGTTAATACTAAATGTTACATAATGACAGCTCAAGTGTTTTACACCTTGAGACAGGTGAGTCAAAGTCACATGTCATGACTTTTTTAGGAGTTACATTCAAAGTTTTAATTAAATAGCTTTATTATCAGTGTATGTCCATAAAATTGGTATCAAAACATTGTTTGTTATTCAAATGTTAATGTTTTTCAATTTCTTAATTTCAAAAGAAAATATTTAAATAAATTGTCAGTCTTCACATCTCTTCTGCGTCATGTGTCATTTCTTTGCTCTGAATTGTCCATTTGAGATTTTCTTTTTACAAAGCTTTCTGAGTTTCCTGGAAAATACACAAGTGTAAGTTAAATGTCTCTGAACTAAAATGTAAAATTATAGCCTTTAAGCTTCTTGCTTTACAGAAATATAAGCAATAAACTGGTGACCACATTGCCATTTCTCTTATAGCACATCTTGCTTTCAAAAAAGTCACTAATTTACTCTACCATTTGCTATTGGATTATTATTAACCAATAGAAGTAAAATATTAATATACTGAACTCCTTATAAGGCAAGCCCATTCTGAGAACAGTATATGAATAATTTTGTCTTCAGTTTCATTCTTTACTATCCCAGAGTCACCTCAACCAGCGAAAGACTATTTTAAAACTACTTATAGCTTAATTAGAAAGCCAATTAATTTATTATAGTTATAGGAGATCGTATTTTATGTGTGTCTTATTATTTTGTGCTCTAAATTGAATATTTGAAATAAATATTTTGTACTGTACTAACAACAACCCTACCAAAAATTAGTGTTAATTTGTATTGAGACTTCAACTGCAAAAAGAGCACAACACCCACATGTAAGTACTAAATGTTTTGTTTTTTCAGTATATGTTTTACTTATTATTGTAAATGTAACTAAAATGTAAAAATTAGACACTTATTAGGCTAGATAAAAAAATGCAAACAAAAAAGTGAAACATTTCTGAATGATGAATGCACACGAGCTTGCTCATGCATGATGTGATTCAATACTTTGTGTACTGTAACTTTCACTGTGGTTTTGTGGGATAATTTATTGTATTGTTATACTAGTTTAGTGGTTAGATGCAGTTCACAGAGCAATAAAATTAAATGAAAGCAATTGTGAAAAAGTTAGATGACTGAAGATCTTTGGATAAATAACTGTCCGTTTTAATATGCAGTCATTCTAGAAAGAAAGAAAAGGGTAATTTAGATTTGGTTTCCATATTTTACATGGTAACAATGTCTGCCAAATGAGCTGATCCCGTATATGGTGTCAATCAAGGTAGAGAAAATAATGGATGAAATATAAAGTTTTACTGAAAACAAAATTTGGTATTTATTTAGGAGGTTCTAGAGATTGTGCAAATTAAATATGAAAACTGTAAGGTGAAAAATATATTTTTATTCTTAACATGAAAATTAGCTTACACTTAGGCTGACTCGGTAACAGCATAGAAAATTCCTAGGCAAATCTTTGTTAAAAATACTTAATTAAAAAATCTGATTTTTTTTTTGTGTCCGACAAACTTGTAATGCTTGCTAAAAGCTTGTCAGATTTCATAAAGTTCAGGATAATTATGCTTCCATAGTTACATGATGATTACTAGGTCAATAAGAATGACTGAACTGCTTGTATACAGATGTTCAAATGACTGCTATAAATAATCTTTCAACTAAGACTGTATATTGCATGTAGTCTGGCCTGATAAGTCCTGGTATTGAACAAAATTCTTTTACAGAAGTATACAGTGAGTAAAGTATAATTTACATGCTCTTGTACAACTTCTTATTGAAAACTCATAATTTGAAACAAAAGCCATAAATGATGTAGAATGTAAAACTTACATTTGGATAAGGTATGTAGATAACACATTCTTAGTGTGCAGATATGGTAACAAGGTATTAACAGAGTTTGCATGCTATTTAAATACAATAGAAACATGTATACAAATAATAGCCTGCCTTTTCTAGATGTATTGGTAGAAAGGAATGATCAAGTTAATTTACAAACATATTTATTGGAAATCTTATCTGTTCTTATGCCATCACACCAGGAATTATGTCATACTAAAACAAAAAAATGTCTGTTTTACACTCATATTTACAGAATTTTTAATATGTACAAAACAAGAGGAATTGAAAAACGAGTTCTTACTAATGAAATATACAGCAGTTGAAAGAAGATTAAACCCAACTATTGTAGATAGAGCAGTTAAGAAGTTAACTAATGTTGTAATAATGGATCAAAGTATTACTTTAAAATCTAGTTATGATAAAATCAAAATGGAATGTTTAGCTTCCTATATGTTCCAGATTTAACTGCTAGTTTATTTAAAGTGTTTAAAAAACAACAAATATTTTACACTATATTTAAACCAATAACTAAGATAAAACAACTTTTAGGTAATGCTAAAGATGTCATATAGTTAATGGAAACAGCTGGAATTTATAAAGTTGAATGTGAGTGTGTAAATATTTATGTTGGACAGACAGACAAAATGCAATTTAAAATTTTGTTTAGCAGAACATAAGGAATGTTTAAGAATTAAAGATTGAAAATTCTACCAGAGCAGAGCATGTACAAGAAACAGTAATAATGGCACAGCCAATAACATCCATGAATCTTTGGAAATAATAAAGTATAAGATAAGATTGTGAATTAATAAGAGACAAATGTCCAGTAAATATCTGAGCAAGAATTTGGCAGTAGTAGTAAACCTGCACACAGGTTTCATGACCTAGTTAAAATAAGAGGGAATCCTCAATAACTGTAGCACTTGAAATTCTTTTAGGCAAGATTATAGTAAATTAATCTATGAGACCTTTTTATTAGCTATATTTTTGTGCACCACCAATACCAGGTGTTAGGTGCATTTATATCTGAATCAATTTTATTATTCATTAGGATCTCAACATACCCTCAAATTGAAATTATTTTATGCAGGATTAGAGTGAATTAATATATGAGTGTGTTCAAGTACATCATTCGAAAGGGTTTGACCTCCTGAGTCCAAAACTGCAATTAGATCTTAAATTGGTCAAGAGATGATGGAGCTATGACCTAAAAATTTGTATTTGAAAAAAATGAAAAACTCGGAGCCATTCGATGAACTGTTATGTCGTGTGTAAAAATATACATATGACATTATTATGTTTTGCAATTTCACTTTTGATAATGACATTAAAACGTCAAAACATGTAGAGACAACTTTTTGAAGACCATAGATTGGCCTGAATTAAAAATGTTTTTCATTGTTTATCTGTTTAACATTATGTGTTATATATTATTTTATCATTGTATCATTTTATTTCAGGGTTTCATTTAAGTGCAACAGTTCTCCCTTCTCAGAACCCACCAATTTGTAAAGGCTCGTATAGCGTAGCTGTAACATTTGATCGTTGTCGAATTACATCCTGTACCTGCACATGTAATAGTGCAGCATCTTGGTGTTCCCATGTTGTTGCTGTTTGTCTTCAAAGAATACATCAAGTAAGTCATGAACTTCATTTCTAATGTTTTATAACAATTACTGTTAATACAGCAGCCATTAACCCTATCAACCTGGATACCCTTTACTGTGCATAACTCAAAGAAAAAAAAGGTTAATTTAGGTATATTTTGGTTTTGTTTTTTTTTTTTGATGGTTATGAGGTCAGTCGAATTGACTGATCCCATTTCGAGATAGAGAAAATAACAGATAAACTATAAAGTTCTACTGAAAAAAAACGTTGGAAATACATTTCGAAGGTTTTAGGGATTATAAAAAGGAAATTTGATATTTTTGAGAAACAAAAAGTATTTTTAGATGTAACATGAAAATTCTTTGCACACAGACTATTCAAAACAAATACTCAATATATTCACAGAGAAATCTTTATTTTATTTTATTAAAAATACTTCACTAAAAAGTTTATATGTGAAAGACTTGTAATATTAACTGAAAGACTGCCAAATTTCATGAAGGTGTACCCAATTTATTGAGAGTTATAAGTATTACATTTATAAAGACTTTACACAAGTACAAAAGGTAACATGAATTGACTGACTCCGTAGTGAGAGAGTTAAGGTACCAGTATAGATATATTTGTGTGGAGCGAGTGTGTCCTGGTAGTTAGCGTGCCAGATCATAAAGCTGATGTTGCATGTTTCATGTCCAATTACTGCCAAAAACAAAATCAAAAATGATGCCCCTCACTTTGGGGTGGGTGTATTATAAGTATGATAATCAAATCCCACTACTGGGTCTCACAAGAGTAACCTATGAATTGGTGGTAGGTAGATTTGACTAGCTGCCTTCTCTGTAGTCTATCACATCAAAAATAGGGATGGCTAGCACAGATACCCCTTATGTATTTTGTGTGTGTGTGTGAAATACAACAAACAGACAGAAAAGATCAGAATGAGGTGACACTGAATTTCATTTTCTTAATCATCAATAAAAGTCAAACAAATTTAATTGCTATGGCTTTGTAATACATATGTCTAGTTAAATAGCTGTGAACAACAAAATCTGTATCCTGAACTTAGATATTGGCATGATATAGTTTATTTGGCATACTACTATTTTTCTAAGGTAGTGTTCTGTGTAGTTCTAAACCAAGTGATACCTGTCATGTATTTCATATTATGGGAGGAAAATAAAATTTGGAAGTTTTGACTCTATATTGCTGATCCTAATATTTTAGGAAATCATAATATCTGTTGTTATAAATTTCATGTTTTATTTCCTATTCTTTCAAAAGGATGCCCAGTTCACACACATTCCTGTAATATATATCTTTGTCAAAAAATATATATATATATATATTTTTCACACGTATTGTAAAAGTTTTATTGTAACTTAAAATTATTAAGATTAAGAGTATTCTCAAAGACACAGGTGAAATATTTCATTTATTATGGTCAAGAGAAATTACATTTTTAAATGAGTGAGGCTACTCATGTCGATGGTGTGAAATATTTGTTTTTTTTTCTTAATGACGTTTCACCCTTCCTACTGTGGCTGTTGTCAGGTTTATGTAACACTAATTTAAATAAGTAATTGAATGATCTGTTATCACTGTTTTAACTCTTTTTTTTTTATACAGGCACCTTTTCTGTGCATATCACAAGGTTTTGCTGAGTTACATTCAAAATTTAATTCAACTACTTAATTATCATAGTGTATGAATAAACTTGGCATCAAAATGTAGCTAATAATCTAAATTTTAATATTATATCAACTTTAAGTTCTTAATTTTCTAAGCCAATATTAAATAAAAATTCCTCAATTTTGCCTAATATGAGAATTGTGATATGTACTCTCTAGGTCTTCCCGTTTCTCTAATTTATTTACCACCACTCTTAGAAGTATAGAATTTAATGTAAATCACTTATTATAATATAGTTATTACTCAGGCAAGTCATAATTTTTATAGCTTTCAGTCTTATTTGTTTACGGAACCATAAACTAAAAATCAAACCCCTCTTGCCATGCCCACCTGTCTCATCCTCTCTTTAACAAATTGTCAGTAGTTTTCTCTGACATTTAATACTATATTATTCATAACCAATAGAAAGCCAAAGTTTTAATCTATCATATTACATTGTTTCTTTGTACAAAGTATAACCTAATAATATAGGTTGATCAAAGTGTAGATTGAACTAGACCTCCCTTGAATTTAGACTTCAAAGTTGAACAATTTTTTTTGAATACTAAGTTTATTTATTATAAAGAACCAGCTGTTTGATAATAAGCTGAATATGGTTAAGCAACCATACACCAGCTGAGGAAGTCAGACCAGCAGGAGAGAGAAATCTTAAGGATATGTTATTTATTTATTTCTAAGTGCTACAACACATCTCCTCATATATCTTCCATTCACTGATGCTTTGCTTAGGCTTTATCAACCATTAATTAACTCTACCATGCTTAGATGTGAACTTCCTGCCTCAAGGATGAAATTGCACCATTGAATGTAAAACTTTTTTGAAAATCAGCTTGTAGTTATTCTTTCATATATTTAAAAAATAGATACTTTAGAATTGAAATTTATTCAATAAAAAAAGTTTTATTTTATTTTATACATAGCAATAAATGAATAACTACAACATTTGATTTTGGGTTGATTTCAGTGAACTCTGAACAAAAACTTTAATGTTTATGAAATTTCTGAATTTTCTTCTGAGAATATAGTATAATGTGAACAGTAGAGGAAGGGAAGGAAGTCTTTATGCAGTTGAAAGGTATTGAAAAACACATTATCATTAGCATATATTCTGATTTAAAATGAGACATCCAAGTGTGAGAAAGCTTTGAAGGAACGGAAAAAAAACATTGGAAAAAGTCAACTTGCTTGAAAAACTAACCAGCATGCTTATAATATATGAAGTCCTAGTTACATATTTTCAAGGTACAGTGGTATAAATACTGATTAATGTAGTATATCTGGAACAATGTTAGTGAACTTATAATGCATATCTTCACAAAACATGACATTCTTTTACTAAAAATTACGATTCTGTTGTCCACAAAAAATCAGATTTTTTTGTAAAGTATTTTTACTAAAGATTTTTCTTTGAATGTAGAAGCTTTTACTGAGTCAGTCAGAATGAAAGGTGACCTTTATTTTAAGAGTAAAGATTCTTCTTTTCATCTTGCAATTTTTGTATTTCAGTTGTGTAACCTCTAGAACCTCCTAAATGAAAATAATAAAAGTTATTTTTGGTAAAAGTGTATATATATTTTTATATTTTTCTCTACCCTAACTTTAACTATAGTGAAATCATCAATGTATGGTGAAATGAAAAGTTGAAAATATGAAAGAAAATTAATGATACCTTTTTTTCCTCTACACTAACAGCAGTATTTATCAGAAATTCCTGAATTACTTATCTTAACAGTTTCATATATTAACTTCCTTTTAATTTTATGGTTTTATTCTCATGCTTGTACTACTGGGGCAGGAACTATCCTCTGTCAAAAGCAATAAATCACACCAGAAGTCCATTTGCTATTTACATAGAGTTAAAATAAAGAATAGGAACATGATGCACATAAGCTCGAACTCATGATTTATATATATATATATATATATACTAAAGTTTTGTTAGGCTAAGCTAAGAAGTTACTAGTTTTTACATGTTACTTTTATTAAAATTATATATATAGCAATAAATAAATTGTATACATAAAAACAAGGACTTGCTGTGGTTATTATGCAATGATTTGTTGTACTTACCGTGTAATTGAGCTAGTTTGCTACTAAATAAAAATTGAAGATGTTCTTTTTCATAAGTCTTTTTGAGTCTCACATGTTTGTTAGTCCAAAAGAGAATTATGTAGCTTTCAGATATCCATTTTAGAATACAATAAAATATATTGCTCACTAGAATAGAACATTCCCAAAATACTCTATTTTATCTGGCTTTTTAAATAACTTATAAACAAGTTAAAAACATTCCATTAGATGTTTGGAGCAGGAGTATGATGTTAGCACACAAAGAAACTACAACAGACTGTTATCCTATGGGCACAAAAAATCAAATAGCCATAATGAGCTTTATGTAGAGGAGAATCTTCTCTTCCTATTGAATATAAAAATGTCAATCAGGCACATAAAAGTTGATTAGCAAAGCAATCTCAAAAGCAGAGAGAAATGTGAGTTTGGCAAATTTATTGGTATTTCGAGAATTCAGAAAGGTAGAAGACTCAGCTTTTAGATTCTTGCTTTTATTTATTTAGTTTATTTTTCTAATTTGTTGGAAACTAAAGCAGTCTATTTTTGATGTTATAAAATTTTGAAAGGGAGAAATTGGTTCTCAAATATGTCATGTAACATAAAAAGATGAATATTGAATTTATTTTTTTTTAATTACAAAGCTAATTCTAAGATAATGTACAAATTTGAATTATAAACTGTGTTTTTGTGCTAAGTATATTGACATACATTGATAATGAAACTGTTTAATTAAAGTTTGGATGTAACACTGTAAAAGGTCATAATAAGTGCAAAAGCACTAAGCCTAAATGTGATAGGTTAAAATCAGTTAAGAAATTTTGGTAAGTATTTTTGAAGTACTTATTCGTAATTAATAAACTGAAATATGTCAATTTGTTCAGATTTAACTGAAATTTTCTGTTCATTGTTTTTTTTATTTGAAGTACAAAAAATCTGTATTATATACATGTTATATTCCAATTTTTGTTTGAGTGTATTCTCACTTTACTTTTTTACACTTGAAAGTAAGGTCACAGCTACTGTGTCAAAACTAGGAAGATTACAAGACTATCTCTTAAAAAAAATTATCTTTGGAACTGCCTTGAAATTAAAGTAAGATGTACCATTTTTAACTGGGAATTATCATTACAAAGAATGAAATAAGTAATGACTTTCTGAATATAAATTGTTTACAGTTTTGAAAAGTAACCACATGAGAGTGAGAAATAGGAATTCTGTGGTTTATTCTGTTGTCACTAGGTTGGAGCTTAAAGAGAGACTATATATCGTATTTATACTCAGTTTTGGATGTTTTATCATGTTAGCTTATATTCTGTCAAACCGATTTGCTAATGTTAATTGTTTTGTTTTGAAAAACAGTATTCACGTAAATACAGCCTCTCAAATAGAATCAAGATTGATAACTTATGATCAGTTAAATGACATTAAATTATTTATTTTTGTTTACAAAATTTAGGCTTAAAGAAAATTATTTGTAACATCACTGAAGTAGACCTTTAATTACTTTTATAATTTTATTAGTTTTTGCTTATTTTATTATATTGCTTTTGTAAAATTTTTTCAAACTAGAAATATTGATGTAACAAAGTCAAACTTGGTTTGGGTTTTATAATTGTTGTAATTTATAATTACTTGAAGTAGAATACAAATGACATTATCATGAGCTCAAATACTTTAATTACTAAACCCATGTAGCCAAACCAAGTACGGCTTCGAGCTCCAGTGTCAGAATCTCTATCTCGCCTCCACAGAGAGCAGCTTCAGAAATTTGCTCAGTACCTGATCAGTGAACTCCCTCAACAGGTAAGTAGAACCATAAAGTTTTAAATAGATAATATAAACACTAAATTCCTAAACAGGTATTTATAGGTTTTGTAAATAATACTTGTACTTTATCTACCTCTACAGGTAATTAATTTTTTTTTATCTTGCATGTAATATACCTTCATCAGCTGTTTAAAATAATACTCAATTTTGTAGATAATACATACACTGTATAAATTCCATCTATAAGTAAGTAGGTCTGGTGTTTTTAATATATGTGAGAAAATTTATTTATACATGTTAAAACCAAGAAAACTATGCTAAAAAATCAGTGAGAAAACACACAAGTTTCTTAAATTGTAGTCTTGTGAGATTTTTCTTGTTTGTGAGAATAACATTTAGCATTGATGGAATTCTTCCATTTTTTTGGCAGGTTTCTGGTATTTTCTGGCAGTCTGTGAAATTTAATTTCTTGGTTAGTAGTTGGGTTTTAATTGAATATTCATGCCCATATCTCTCAAAGTTCTGGACCAAATAAGCAGGAACTGGGTTATGGTTAACACTAAGATGATGCTGTTCCAACAGCTTAAATAATCCTTCTAAAAATAAGGACTTGAATACTGATATTGATTCCTTGTTAATATATATAAATGATGTAAAATTATTTGCAAAGTGTGTTCACAGTCTTTTTAACTATAGTGAATGTAGTTTTCAAGTAACTCTTTCCGAAGTCTTGTTTTTGTAATTTATATTATCTGTAATGTACCTCATGTCTTTAGGCTCACGGTATCTTGACTTTAATTATGTTTCGCAGTCCTGTAAATCTAATGGTTTATGCAGTTTGCCATGGTCAACAAGAATAACTGACTTTTAGTTCAATTTTTTTTAGTAACAAATATGATTATGAAAGTGAAAACTAATAGAAAACTGGGGAGAGAGCCCCAGAAAAGTAGCCAGTGTTGCTTTCAGCAGAGTTTTAAAATAATAAATTTAAAATATTTTAAGCCATTATACTGATGTACTGTCACATGAAAATGATTCTTACAAATCACTTACCTTCTTTTGCTTAGGAAAATAATATTGTGTACGTCTGTATGCTTGTTAAAATGCAAGTAATATTTGTACTATTATTTAATGAAGACTACAAACAACTTCAGAAAAACATTTAATTACTTGTACCCGACTTTTCATTTTACGCCTTTATCAAAATGTTAGAAACTTGTGACAATTTCCTCGACAGAAAATATAAGGAATCACTTTTGATTCAATCCAGACACCCTTTCATTAATAGGTCAAGTGCCTACCCCTTTAACATTTTATTATTATTATTAATTTTATCATTATAATTTTATTTATTTTTACATTATTATTATTATCATTTTCTCTATTTTTATAATCAATGACTCAAAACTGTTTGACTATACTCGTATTACATACAATTTTCCCATTATATTATTGTTGTAGCTGTATTTGTTTTTGGTTACTGTCAATTAAAATCAGTTTGGTAACCTGTGACGTTCATAGACCTTTGATAAAGGCATAAGCTGAAACATCGGGTACAAGTAATTAAACATTTTTCTGAAGTTGTTTGTTGTCTTCATTAAATAATGGTTTCTATCCTTCAGTCAGCATTGAAAATTTTAAAAAACAGTAATATAATATTTGTACTGCAGTTTCCAGCTGAGTTTAAATTTCTGTTCTTATTTTATTAGTGCCACAAAAAGCACTTGTTTACATGAAATATATAATGATGAAACAACTGTTTTAGTTCTTTCTTTTTTAACATCTTTTTGAGAAATGATTGCATAATGTTAAAATTAGGATTTCACAAAATATGTAAGAAAATCATAGTTTACTCAATGATTTATTCCAAGGTTCATTGCAGACTTTCCATTCAAAAAGAAAAACATCTCATAATGAATTTACCATGCTGCATATTGATTTATCCAGGAAAATGTACATAATGAAGCCAGGGAGATAAATTGTTTTAATGTTTATTCTTTAGCCTTGAATTGGCATTGAAAAGAAAGTTGTTTTTGTTATTATTGTTATTACATATTCAATGGTATTAAATTTAAAATCTCATTTGTATGTTAATTAAAAAACATTTTATTAGAGTATCTGAACTTTTTTGGAGGCTTAATGACTACATTTAAGTGGTATTTTGGGTTTGAAATATTTTGTTTCAAGCTGATTTCTGACATATGTGGTGGTAGTCATGTCATAAAAGAAACTTCCTTATGCTGAGAATACCCTAAGTAATATCATAAACTAGTTTTACACTCAGAGTCTATAAATACTAAAACTAGATATCCTGCTAAATCCATGATACTAACCTTTAACCTCTAAAAATGTAATTAAGAAAGAACCCATCCTTTTGTGTTTAATTACTTTGTTTATCGAAATTGGCAATCTCTTTACAAGTTTAAGCTTAGGAATAATTGCTGGATGGTTAAAGATATAGAAAAACTGAAACAGAAAGCTGTGTGAGAAAAGCAGTGTTAATCATGAGCACCAGTGGCAGAGAAAGACCTGGCATGTAAAAAAATAAGAAAATGAAAAGAAGAGTGAGAGAGAAATGTGGCAGTAAAATCCCATGTTACGCTTACAGCAAAAAGCAAAAGAAAGTGAATCGATGACATAAAGCAGAGTGAATCAAAAGCACCTGTACCACAGAAAGAAAACTAGGCACATGAAAAATAAGAAAATGAAGATAAAAGAGAGGTGGCAGTGAAAGCCCATGTTTTGCTAACAACACGAAGAGCAAAAGAAAGTGAGCAGGTGACAAAAATGGCAAGGCTGGCAGAGAAAAGCAGTGCAAAACAACAGTGCCAGTGGCACAGAAATAAAGGCAATCTTTTAAACATAAGAGTTTCTCTGTTTTGCTAAATCAAAACGTTTTTCAGAAGCAATGGTGCAAATTGTATATTGCAGCATCAAAAACTGTTTGCAACTGTTTTTTTTTTTCTGCAGGCATTCTCATGACTAATTTAGGTAAATATTTTAGCACTGTAATATTCATCCATACTCCAGGACTTGAATAAAGGAGTATAGCTAATCACCAGGGAGCTTTATGTTCAGTAAGTCTATAGTTAAATTTTTTTTTGCATTTTTCTACCTTCAGCAATTTCAATCCAATTAAGATGTCATATGAAAGCAGTTGAGGAGAGGAGAATTTTTTTAATATATTGTTTTTTCAGTCACTCATTCCAGTAGTCCCTCAGCACCAAAAACAAAGCAAGGGAATTGCTGTGATTAAGTTTTTTGTACCTTGATCCATTCATTAGCTTGTTTTTGTTATTTTTTTCCTTCTGCAAACTTTTCAGCAACTTAAAAACCAAAATAAGGTATTAGAAAGTTTAAAGATTAGAGATAAAATTCTACATCATACCACTGAGGCTATGTTAGTTGTCATAAATCAAGAAATTCAGTGATGGGGTTTGTTTACTATTTTTCCTTTACTTTTGTATTGTTAGAATTCCCAATTTTTGTTGATCGTATAGTAAAGCAGATACTTGGATCATCAGAATCATAGCATTAGATTTAGTGGTGTTTTTATAGTTCATTAATAATGTTTTTTTGTTTTGATAAAATTTAGCTTAGATTAAAAATACTTGAATTTTAAAAGTTCCTTTGTTGTTTCAGATTTTGCCAACAGCTCAGAGACTGTTAGATGAGCTTCTTTCAAACCAGCAAACTGCTATTAACACATACTGTGGTGCACCAGGTAAAAAGAAAAATTATAAATGTACTTTTTCATAGCAGAGCCCTGTTGTGATTAACTACCTACAAAATGTATTGTTTTTATTGTATTCTTACAATTATTTTGCTTCTTTTTTAACTTGGAAAACGTTTTTAAATTGGATTTTGTAGATTTACAAAAAAAAATGGCATTTTTAATGTTGAAGAATACCTCCTTTTGTTTCACCAGATCCTACTGCAGGAGCTTCTGCTAGTGAACTGACCACCTGGTGTCTAGATGAAGGAACACTTCATGAGAACATTCGGAAAATCCTTATTAAATTGTGTGTTCCATCACCCATGGTTTTTAGTGATGTAAACTACTTGTCCTCCACAGCACCACCAGCTGCAGCTGAATGGTCCAGTTTACTCAGACCTTTACGAGGTCGTGAACCCGAAGGGATATGGAACTTGCTTCTAATTGTACGAGAGATGTTCCGTCGAAGTGATCGCAATGCAATTCCTTTATTACAGATTCTAACTGAAGAGGTTCTTGCTTGTGACCAGGTGAGTTTTATGTTGTTAAAATAGCATTGCATGCCACCTGGTGTGTTTCAAGTTTCTGAAGCAAAAATGCATTTGTTTCTGCATGTGATGAGGTAAGTTTCAAGTTTATAGAATACAACTGCAAGTGTCTCAGTATGTTATTAGTTGATTTTAAGTTTTAAACACATATTACTTCAAGTATCTTACTTTTAAAAGTAAGTTTCAAAATTCTTAATATTTTTGGAGGCATTTTTGCATATGATGAGTTAAATAGAATTATCTCAAACCTAATTATGGATTGTTGAAGAAAAGATTCTTTTCACTGATCTTTCACATTTTTAAAGCATGATTTTTAATTCTTATAAAGACAGTTTGATTGTAAGAGGTTGACCTCAGACTTTCTTAAACGTTTGAAAAAATTCTAGTGTTATAATTGTGTTTCCTTGAGCATTTGAGCTGCATAACTTGGCTGTAACTCCATGATTTACTTTCATCTTGATAGTTAATAGACAACATATATGTATATTGTCACTAATTGTTAGCCTAATTTCTTTAATATTTGCAAACTGTTACTGCAATTCAAATTAGATTTACTGTAGACCTAACCTTTATTTTGCTTACAGATAATTTTAATAATAGTTTTGCATGTAAGCTATGTTTTAATTAGTAAAAATATTTGTATCCTTTGTTATAAGAAGCTCAAGTTTAGAAGATTACTGAATTGAGCTAATCATTTGCAAAATAACTTTTATTCAGACATTTTGTTTTTCCCTATGAGGTATATTTCAGTTGAGGTATATTTTATAAGCTTATAAAGTCATGATGACTTTCATTTGTAGATTTTGGTGTGGTGGTTCAACACCAAAGTGTCACTTCACATGGGTAGTAGTGGACATGGCAGCCGAGGAAGTGTTCATAGTAACACACATGCTTCTCAACAAGCCTGTAGCAGTTTATGTGATGAAGTGGTGATTCTCTGGAGACTTGCTGGCCTTAACCCTGCCTTGTCTCCACAAGAACGTCAGAATTTCTTTTACCAGGTATATGTTATAGCTCTCTAAAATCTCTCTTTAACATATGACATCATTCTTTATTTAATTCAACTTCAAGTTTGAGTGATTGTAAAGTAGTCTAGTAGAATTTCTTTTCCTTAACTATGCACTAAGAGTGAAAAACAATTCTTAAGACAAAAACAGTTGTGCATTGTCAGTTTGTAGAGAATGACATTCAAAAGTAAGTATTAGCATGTACCTTCTATAAGTGTTCACAGAAATTTTAAGACGAGAGAAAATTATTTGTTATATTTTTCTAAAGGTTAAATACTGAAAGAATTTAATATTAATGAAATTAACACATATAACTCTCTTTTTTGGTTACTATTAAAGTGTTTTATTAACTTTTGCAACAGGTTAAAGAGCATGTCATCATGTTTGTAGACTTGCATTCAAAATTTTATTGAACTACTATTTTATGAATGTATGTCAAAATAAGTTTGGTATCAAATTGTAGATTGTAGCTCAACTTTTAATATTATACCTTAAATAATTTCTTAATTTAAAAATAAATGTTAAAAATAACACCTAAATATCGATGTTTGTGCGTCATGCGGTACGTTGAATGCAACTTTGGTTCAAATTAGATGTTGGTGATGTCTAAATACAAAGTATAGTTTCTTATTAATTAGAAACTCAAATTACCAATATTGACAAGCTAGAATATAAAATAAGAACCTCTTATATTTTCTATTTGATGTGATATCACTATATTTAGTGAATCAAACACAGTAAACCTGCCCAACCTCTTCTATTTTTGAAAATACTTGTTTACATACACCTGCTTCACTCTATCATGTGTTTAGAACCAATCAAAAGCTCATAATTTCTGCCATGTGGTTTTTCTCAGCCTCTTGAAGGTAGGAATTTCCCAAGATTATTTCTTTAGTCTTCAATCTCAGAAGGAAGGAATAACTGAAAATGTTGTTTGAAAAACAATATTTTTTAGACCCAAATTCAGTTTATTTAATAAGGCAATACATTTACTTTAGATCTAATAATGAAAAAGAAAAAAATATGTATTATTTGACACAAGTTCCTAATCACTTTTTTTTGCCCACCTTGGAAATAATATGTACAAGTTGCAAATAAAAAATATATGTATATTTGCATTGGGTGTAGATCTACATTATGAAGACTACCCATTTCAATTTGTTCTCCACTGTAACATTAATTCTCAGGCATCAATTAACTAAATAACTTAATTAAATCCTATAACAGAAAAAAAAAAGCATAGCTCATGTGCATACCTCATGGAGAAAGTATTTTGTTTATAATTTTTTTTTACTCTGATTTCCTTATCTAACTTAATGAGAGTTTAATTTTTACATTTTAGCTACTTTATTTTAAAATATCTAACAAGAAAAAAATATATAAAAACAAGAAATTTACCACTTATTGGGGCCTTTTTTTTTGGTACTCAAGTGACCTGATTTTGTAAACCTTGTGTTTTCTAACTATACTGTTTGTCCAAAACATAATTCATGTAGCTTTCAAGTATACATTTCAAGAACAAACAACAATTCAAACAGTTAAAAAAATTTCCCCAAAATTACCATCATTTATCTGGCTTTTTGACTAATCTATAAGTAGGTTAAACAAATTCAGTTTACTTACCAAAACACCAACTTGGGTCTATCCTCAATAAAAGCTACCAAATAAAATAAAGATATCATAATCTTGTAGTTCACAAAATAGCCTTTCTGTTGGTTATAAATATGTACCATTGACAAGTAAGTGTGAGTAAATAAGTGATTTTAAAAACATGAAGATATGTGAGGATGTAACAAATTGATAATAGCAAAAGTAAAGAAAATGGGAGGTTTTTGTTTTAAATTCAGCCTTTAAATATGTATAGTTGGTATTTCTAATTTGTAAACATTCTGAATCCCTGGTAAAGAGATTATATTACTATTAACTTAACTTTATTAACTTAAGTGGAATACAAACGTTCATAGAAGTAAGCCCAAACTGATTATGACAATTATTATAAATGTCCTATAATAATTTTAACTTAATCTGTTTGAGTTCCAGTAACTATTAGAAGCATAGTGATTCAGTTCAGTTTTAATGAATTATAGTGAATTAGTGTAATTTAGATCTCGCATGTTTACAAAAATGTACCAGAAATTACCCTTAATTATGCAGTTATATGTAGATTACCTAATCTCTTTCCTATGTTAAGAAGTGACAATTTCATCTAGGGAGAAGTATCTTGACTTTTAAAATGCATGCACTCTCATTAATCTTGGCTCTTTCAAATTGTATGTTGTTGTTTTTATTGTGATAGCAGCAACAGCCCTTAATTTTTGTATAATGTCTAATTTTAATATCCTTGAAAATTATAAAAAGTCTTGCATTACAACTGCAGTAAAAGTTTGACAGTTCATTTTTTGTGTTCCATAAAAAAGTTAATTTTTTTTCATGAAAACCTAAAGATTTTTAAAGGCATATTTAAAGTATTCTTACATTAAAGACTGGGTAGATTTCAGTCTCTTAAAATTATATTAAAATTAATTTGAGTTGTAGCAATATTATATAACATTTCTGCATGAATTTTATGTCCTTTGAAATGGTAAGAGTATTTATTTTTTCCAAGTTGCATGAATGGCATCTAAAAACATTGGAAAGAGTGTGGAAGGTGAGAAACAATAGTGGTAGTGGAGCAAGTGGCATCAAACGGTCTGATATTGATGTCTTTACTGGCTTTAAACCAGCAATGGAAGCTTGTCTGTTGGATTGGAGCGACTATCCCATTGAAGGTGTCACTTACACAGGAAAAGGTGCAAGCCGTTGGTATGTTCCCTATACCCAAGGTCGTGGCTCTGATCACTCTGTTTCTTGTATGACTTCAAAACCAACAGATTTTTGTCATATTAATAATCGAAGAGGACGATCAGTAGATGTAAGTTCATGTGTTGAAGGACGTCTTCATAGCAGGTTGGCTCCTCCAGTTCATCGCTGTTCACAGAATTCTGGAAAAATATGCAGTGAGAGCAATCGAAGCTCCTTGAGCAGTGAGGGGTTTTGTGAAAATGAAACAGAGCCAGTAGAAAGTTATACTCAATTTTCTGGACCCATACCATCTGAAACAAAGGTTCCAATCACTGTAAATATTCAACCACCTTATGGTGAGAGCATGTCTAATGATTCAAATGGTAACTTACAACTTCATTCATGTGAAGATTCTTCCAGAAAGACAGAAGCCCTATGTGCTAGTATTGCACCTAAAGTCAATGGTGAGCTTTCAGATCTGACATTAAAGAGCAGTTGTGTGGATGAAACTGCTGATTCTTCAAATCCTCCAGAAGTTGGCATAGCTAATGAACTTGAGAAATCCTCCCCAGAAGAAGATTCTGACTGGTCAAATCCACCTGAAGATAACTGTCAAGCTGGAAAGTCAAGGTATTTTTTAATACAGAAAATATAGTTGGACTAATGAAACTTAGTTAAATGGATGACAACTGCCTGAAGACAAAAGGAGGAAGACTTTCGAAACATCATCCTTTATACTTGTGTTTCTACAAAAGGCAGTTGTCATCCATTTAACTAAGTTTCATCATGAATACTCTGCCTAAACAATCTATTAAAGAGTAGTTGGACTAGTAAGTTACATCCTAATCATATTTTTTATCTGAAAGTAGCAAAAACCATAATGTGTAAACTTTTTTAATTGCATTGATGTTTTTGTTGTTGTTATTTGTGAAGATCATTAACAGTTTGACTTCCTTGTATCTAAACCATACTTCTAGTAAAATAGTGTAATATAATAAAACATAAACCAAGAAACAGTTATTCTTTAAATAGAATTCTAGAGAACTTTACTGATGCATCCATAGGTTAAAATCAATATTTAAGCATAATGCTAAGCTCCAATTATACCGCTTTGTATTGTTAAAAAAAAAAAACTTTTTTTTTCTTTCTCTTAACTCTTTCCAGATCAGTGGGGCATGATAAAGTTCTTTGAGTAAATACTTAATCGAACTGCATGAAACTTAAAAAGGAATTACTAAATACTATGTTGTTTCAGCTTTAAAATAATCATATAAATATTTTACATTGTGAAATTTCCAGAATCTTGTTCAGTAATACTGTACCTCTTTTCATAGTTGATCACAAACTTCCACTAGGTCAGGCTAGTTCACAGTATTCTGGGTCAAGAAATTTATATCTAATAAACATAGTTTCATTTCAATAAATAGTTAGTTTTTTTACTTGTATATGCTGCTTGAATATGATAAACTTAATATTAACATTCAATAAATAAAGATTTGAGTATCAGAATATTTTTCTCTCATCTACTGTACTCTTTTTAAACCCAACTAAGTTTACCTGATGTCTTGTAAAAGAAAAGTTCCAGAGCTTTCACACAGTTTTAATTTCACATGTTTCTGGTAGTGAAAAGAATGTCTAAAGAAACTAAAAAGATTTCCATGTCTGTGATTTTTTTTTTAAGTCTTTTAAACTTCCATTAAATTTTGTTCTTTTCTGTAGGAGATACACCCAATTACTTTCCCATGAAACTGCAAGTTACTTCTTACACCACATTTTAACACTACTTTGAAATTAATAGTTTATAATATGCTCCATTGAATGGTGTTTAAATTTAACCTTGTGCTATTTTTAAAGCAGACTTTTGGTAGTTGTTTTTTTTTTAGATCAGGTGCTGTGAGATCGTAAAAGAGTATGAACAAGACAATGTATCAATAAAATCAGAGAAAGAGAAGGAAAAATCATATGAGAAATAAAATCTTTAGAATATAATTCTCAAGAGATGAAAATTTCTTTAACTATAAACCTATATTTTGGGATGGGCATAAAAGATCTAAAAAATTGAGAGGTGTGTTGTTCACAGACAAGATGCATCAGAGCTGTGCATAAATTTAAGTTTGAATTTTTTTCCTTTGCAAATTACAACAAATAAATTTTACAAAATGTCAGTTCTAAAATGTTTTTGAGTAAAAAATTGTTGAAATAGTTAGAATTATTCAAATTAGATATGCAGTGAGCATTCAACACCTGAAAGTTGCTCAAAAGTCTGGATAGGGTTAATGAAAATTATACTTGCCAAAACTTGTATACTATATGAATAATTAGAGAAATAAAAAAAATGTATGATGAATATGCTAACCCATAATGCCTAAATATAACATATGTCAAGAAAATGTACTGTTATGGTAAATTATACAAAAGTCCAAATACATATTGTCTTATGGTTTTACTATATCAAAAAATGATGCAACAGGGTATGATTTAGTGATACGTAAATTTCCAAAAGTAGGTCTAAGATGTTATTTATATCATAAATTTTCATGAATGATGACTATTCTGGTGTGAAATAGATTAAGTAATTGAATTGTAATTATTGTCTGTTTTATTTAAGGCATTTATAAATCAGATTTTTGAGGGTAACTATTAACAACACATTATTTTTATTTTTTAATACCAATTATTAATTTTTATTATTATTTTATTTGCGTTAACTACTGTCATTCAGAAAATCTGGCAAACCAGCAAGCTAGTATTCTGTCATAGAAATGAAAAACTTTCATTGACGTGTTTATCAATTTATGGCAGCTAAATAAAGATGTAAAATAAAAGGAAAAAAAACAACATTAACTGGAGTGTCACTTAGAAATTCTGTCAGTTCTATAATTTAAAGCTGCATTTCAACAGGAAGACTTTTTTTTTATAGTGACAAGTGACACTTTAAATGAAAATGTTTAAAATACTGTGGGCTAAAGGTTCTCAAAATGTATTTATCTTGTTATGATATTGCATGTAGTTTAAAAGTGACTGAAATCACCATAAACACAAACCTTGGACAGTTTAAAGTGGGGTGATTTTTTTTGTTGTTGTTGTTGTTTCCAGTTTGACACTTTGGACATTTAAGATTTTGCATTTAGTGCTACCTTACCCAACTGGGCTTGTTAAGAATTTAAGAATGTTTTACCCCTGACAACAAAATTCCTAATGTGGTCCCATAATGTAATGGTGAAATATCAGATCCTTTCTTTTTGCACTGATCTTATCATTAGAGAGGAGTGTTAGAAACCCAAAAAAGGGACTTCAGTAAAGTGATCACTTCAGTTAAGTACAAAATTTTTATAAAGTGGAAATCCTGCACAAAATCAAATCTCAACTACCATTCTAAATATGGACAATTACACTGAACTGATATTATTACTCTAGATAATGGATATCTCTCCAAAATAACTGAAAATAAAAACATTTTATGTTTTTAATTAACATCCTACACAAATCATGCTAAAAGTTTCAAAGGTAGTTGTATTGGACATTGAGAAAAAAGTCCTAGTTTTCTTTTTATTTCTGAGGTAAACTTTGTGTCGTGAGTTTTTCCTGAAAGATTTAATTTTTTTGTCTTTTTGTTTAATTCATGAGAAACTTGCAGAAAAAGAGTAAATTTGATTTTTTTTTGTATTAATATTTGTTTTCACTGTTCTTTTGCCAAAAGCTGATATTAGTTCCAAACTGCTGGTTTTTCTTGAAAAAGAAATTGAAAAAAAAAGGTATTTTGAAGCACTTTCTGCAAAGGTTTCTTTTATATCATTCTGTTAAATTACAACTTTGTATTAGATAAGTTTTTTTGATATTGGTATTTACTGAACTGTCTTTAGTTTGATGATCTTATAATAACCACTAACTTCTACTTTTGATGCCACTTTTTTTTTTTTAGATTTAATTGTATATAGTAGTATATTTGAAGTAAATTTAACTTTATAAAATATAATGTCCAAATAATAATTTGAAACACTTATTATGGGTAAATAGAACTCAGGGTGATGAAAACAGTGAACATAATGAATCTCAGCAGTCCAGTGATGAGTATCAAGTATACTACTACAATCCTCAAGCCATCCTGCCAAGCCCTGAAAAGGTTCCAGAAACAAAGACAGAATCAGAGCGCTTCACTGTGTCAGTGAAAAAGATAGAAGATCCACTTGAGGTGAGTAAAAGATTCAGTAAAGTTACATGCCTTGTGACAGTGTACAATGCACATTGTTATTATTGTACCAACATCATCATTAATGTCCAGTAGCTTCTAATAAAATTAGAAAAAAAAGATGGGAAGAGGATATTACATTCACTGTCTGTATTTCTCAGTATTTGAATGTGTTAGGTCAGGCTATTCATATGCATTGTTAGCTTAATGCACTTGTGAAACAGAAATGATTAAGAAGAATGAGGTTTTATTAATGTTTTTTTTTATACTGTGAACAGCTCTACAGTGGAAATTGTTTTTTAAGAAATTAAAACTGTGACTTTTCAGTCCACACGAGTGAGCCATCTTCAAGTTGTTCATTAAGTTTGATCATCCAGTGTGATCCTTGTCTCCTAATACTCAATCACAAGTGTGTGATGGTGAGGTGGGGCTTGATTGGTGATGAAATTATTAAACCCCAATACGTTTCAAATTAACCCTCTGGATATAGGTAGGCAAACATGCATGTGTCACAATCGTTTTACAGAATTGCATTCAAAATTCAATTAAACTATTATCAATAAATGCCAATAAACTTGGCATTAAAATGTAGGTAATAAGTGAAATTTTGATCTTATGTAAGGTTTAATTTCAAAAAGATATGTTTAGATGAATTCTCAATCTTCCTTTCTCTATATCACATGACACTTGTTTGATCAGAAATGCTCAATTTAGATATTTTTTTTCACCCCTCTCTGAGATTCTGAGTTTTAATACAGATTACAAACTTATAGTATAGGTGTTGCTAAAGCATAATCTCAACCTGTAGACTCTAAATCATCTTGATTTACAAAGATATAAACTTGAAAGAAAAGCTTGCATTCCACACCCTCTATCACATACTATCTTTCAAAAAATGTCATTAAATCTCTTTGACATTATTTATAAGCAAGAGAAAGTGAAGATTGTAAATTACTGAATTACATAATAGGCTAACTCATTCTGATGACAACTTTTCAATTACTTGACCTACAAATTCAAAGTTGCTATTGGTAACCTCACCTTGACCAAGTAAGAGAAATATTAACACACTTATAGCATAGTTAGAAAGCAGTTAAATTATAATTGTTATAGGACATTGTATTCTTTGTGTATTCAAAAGTTAGGCGTAACTTTTATCAAAACTTCATGACTTTGATTCCAAAAAAATGTACAAGACTTGCACATAAGTATTAAATTTCTTGTTTTTTATGTATATTTTTATTTATTGTTACAAAAATTAACTAAAATGTAAAAATTAGAAACTAGCTGGGTTAGATAAGAAAATGAAATGAAAAAAAAATTCAATATATTTCTCAATGAGGTATGCATACAAGCTGCACATGCATTACATAATTTTAATATTTCTCTTTACCATAACTTGAGCTGTTTGCTTGCTGGGTGTGTTTAGTAGTTAGACACAGTTTGAAGAGTTATAAAACAAAATTAAATGAAAACAAGTGTAAGTTACTATGAGCCTGAGGCTGTTTAGGATTAATAATTGTAATTTTCTGTTACAATCTGCAGTCATTCTACAAAGACAAAAAAAAGGTAATTTAAATTTATTTATTTTCATTTTTTGTGGTGATTACAAGGCTGGTAAAATAGACTGAGCCCATATAGTTTAGGGTTGAGAAAATAACAGATAAAATATAAAGTTTATATAATCATTTAGAAGGTTCAAGTAGTTATGCAAATGAAAATTGGAAACTTTAAGATGAAATTTTAACATGAAAATCACATTGCACTCAGAATAGTCAGAATTTGAGTGAGACTGTGATTCTGTACATTCACAAATAAATCATTATTAAGTATACTTAATTAAAATGTTGACTAAAAACTTGCCAAATTTCATGAAGATTCACTTACTACATTAAAAGTTATAGTATGTATAGTTTCATGGTTACATGATGGTTAAAAGGTTGGTCATATTGACCGAGCCCCTATATGGAAAATTAAACTGATAGATTCATATGTCTGTGTGTGCATTACATTTTATAAACTTCTAATGTTATAAGAAAATGTTTTTTATATGCATTTTCATAGTATTTTTAATAATTCAGTATGGGCATAATACTTTATATGGTTTTAAAGATTATTTTTGTAAAGCTAATGTTCTGAATGTGTTTCTTTGTGTCTGTTTGTATGTATGAGAGATACATTATGAATTGAAATCAATACTTATCAGGCATATATCTTTTTTTAAATGTATAGATGAAACATCCACATTTTATGTACTACAGGTAATATTTTTGCAGAATGCTTTCACAAAAGTTCTAATTAATAGTTTTATGACACTTTCTGTAGGTGTTGTTTGCTCGAGCAGAAGCTCTTCATGCACATGGTCATACACAGGAAGCTTGCAAGTTAGCAGTGAAACTAGCAGAGGAACTACTAGCTAACCCTCCAAATTTTGTGGTTGATATGCCTGCTCAACCAAACCGTGGCAAAAGAAATCGTCGTTTTAATCCAGCATGTCATCAAGTCAGTCTACATGCATCTGCTACATTGTCCAAGGCTGCCTTTCTGTGCTCAGTTCTTGGAGAAAATCCTGACCATTCTCATCTAGCCTTTCGTGTTGGGCTTTTTGGATTAGAACTTGCAAGACCTCCTGCTTCCACCAAAGCTTTGGAAGTAATACTGCTTGTTTTTTTACCTTCTTAATTTTAGAATATTTTGAATTATCTGAAACATTATCTTTCCATTCCTGAGTTCTTGAGTACACAGTAAAATATCTGCTGATCTAGAAATTTGAGTTTTTATGGTGTGTGTGTGTGTTTATACTGGTGTAATAATACAGTTTTGATGATATTCTTCAAAGAGAGTAGTCATAATTTAGCTTTTTTGCAGTCAAGTTTCTAATCCAGGAAGATCAGACTATGGAATTAATCTATATTGTAAGAATTGTCTTTCTCTTTATGTATGAAAAATGGTAAACTCTGAGAAAACAAGGCCTAAGTATTTTGAGATTGTGGCAAACAATTAAGGGAAAGAACAAAGTTTGGAAATATTTTTAGATTTAAGGGGCACCTGATTGTTCCATTGATAGGAAAGTAACTGTGAGTAGGCATTGCTGCAACAAGATTTAATTCTGCAGAAGTACATCATTTATTTTTATTAACATAAGTTAAGATACTTTATCTGTTATCATTCTTGTTATTATAGTGTAAGCTACTTTTGTTAACTATATTAGCTAACAAATAACTAAATGCTACTTGTACTTGTTATTCATGTAGATTGAGAAACACCTGGATAAGTGAGGTTTGTATTGAGTTTGTTATTAAATTTTGTTTAAGCACTGTGCTGAATGATTTACTGTTTATTGTGTTTGTTGATGCTGTATATAAAGTTATTTCAATGAATAATTGGTTTTTAGTATTGATTCATTATCTGATGACTTAGATATTAATTTTATTATAAGTACAACTGGTTAAAGCGACTCATCTGAATGACTTTCTGTGTAATTTGTTTATGTTTAACAGGCTATTAGTGAATACCTTGGGTGACTTGTTTATTTTGTAGGTTAAAATGGCAAATCAAGAGCAAGATTTGGTTGGTTTGTTGAAACGTATCATGCTAACTGATGCTGAGCTGAAGGTGGTTAGAGAACGAGCTGAACAGTTACGGTCAGGACAGCTTCAGTCAAGAGGGGAAGCACTTCTACCTCTAATGTTGTCCAGTTTCATATTTGATGCATTAGTTCTGTGTGGTATGAATAGATAAGCATTTTTTACATAATGTAATAATTTGTGGATAGTTTTATAATTGGAAAGTTTAGTTTTCTACATAGTAATACAAGGTAAGTTTCAGGAAAGAGTAATATGTTAGTTATGAGTACTAGAATGTTTACGTCTATACTTTAAGAATTTTTGTGCTTACTCTTACAAACATACGAGATTGTAATTTTATAGTTTTTATAAATAATTTTCTGTGTGTATTATAAGTATTTCTTTAGGGCATTTATATATTTTAAACATTGAGTTTAAATATTTCTGAGTTCTGTGTAAGAATTTTCAGATATTGTTCTTAATATATTTGCATTGAAAATTACATTATTTGCCCAAAATTTCACTAAATTTATTTTTTCTGCTGATTTTATGTATGCAACAAATATTTTGTTGGGAAACTACTGATTCTTTCCCGAGCATGATTTTGTTAAATAGAGCACATGTGTATGAAAAGGAAAAAAGGCCCACTTTTATTAACATAATTCATTTACATATATTCCAAGGTATTGTTTTTTTGTTTTAATGATTTTTAATACATATTTTTATGTTCTCAAAGGTCTTTCATCAGGTGATGTAACTAGTGTTTCGAGTAAATCTGTCACTGACGAGGAGTTAGGATTTGAAGCAGCAGTTGCAGCTCTAGGTATGTTGGTGATACTTCACCCTTGGTGCCTGTAATCATAGCTGACACGTCTTTAAGAAAATGTAACTTCTAATGATCACAATGAAAAATAAAACCTAAATAAAAAAGTAAAATTATAAATGTAAATAATAATTCAGCTATTTTCACCTAGACAGTTGAGTTCTTAAGCTGATCATGTATTTTAAAACAAGTTATTATTAGAACTCATGAATGGTATGATATTTGTCCACACAATATTTTCCAAGACCTGTCGTCTACTAACACTTATGAAACCATTGAAATGTCAAAATCTAAATATTGTAAATAATTACTAAAGAGCATTTAATTTGTCTAATATATAATTAAATAGATAAAATACTGTTAATATACATATGTCAAAGATTGCTATAATACCACAATTTTAGCGTCTTCAAAACAATAAACTGAAAATTGTACCAAAATCAGCCTGCAGTGAACGAACATAATTGTCTGGTTTACTTCCTTTTCAGCTTTCAGAATAAGCAATTTGAGTGCAATAAGTTTGAAAATTAATATCACCATTTTGCCATAAAAAAACAAGTCAGTTGTATGGTTATATTATTAATTCTATTAGACAAGTATGTCACATCAGAAACTAGTCCGATTGCATTTATTTCTCCTTGCCTATTGGAATACTGTTGATTTTGAGCCCTGAAGATTTATTTTTCTCAGTTCATCTGCTTTTTTTTTTTTACCAAAATTAATCCATTTCTTTGTTATTTTGTAAATTACGAAGCTGTAAATTTGACTGACCGTGATAACTCCACATCTATAAATAGGTATTGTTATGCCTGTTTTTAATATTACTCAGAGTTTGAAAAGTAAGGAACAAATGGCAAAGGATGTATAAGCATTGAATGAGGAATATGTTTTACATTATGTGCCTGATTTTATCTTATGTTTGTCCAATTTAATGTCCACTATATCAGTATTCATCATGGTGTCATTATTGGTCCTTCATAATTTTGTATTGGATTCAGTATTGGTACATATCTAGTCTTAGGTCCTTGAATTCTGGTCAGTGGTACTTAAAAAGTTTGGAAAAGTCCTTGAATTTCTTGTCTTGATAAGTATATGAACTATAATAACAATTATGTGCTGTTTAAATGCTGTGTTAGTACCTGCTAACAGCTGCTTAACAATATGAACACAGAGTACAGAGGGACTGCTAATGATGTAAGCCTTAATAGCGTAAAAGTTTAGTTGCATATTTTTCTTAGACTAAACATAGTGCCATTCTATCTATACATTTAGGTGTGGCACTTAGCATAATTTCTTATCAGTTATCTTATACTTTAAAAAATAATACTCTGTTTGAATTATGGATAATTGTTAATTATTTACTTTCTATCATTGTGGATGTTTCCCATTGTAGGATTAAAAGCCAATGTGTCTGAAGCTGACCATCCAATCCTATGTGAAGGTACACGTCGACAAAGGGGAGAACTGGCCCTTACCCTACTTGTTCATTATAAAGATGATCAACAAAAACTTTCGAAGGTAATATAACAGTTGTAATAACTGATATACTGGCATGTCCTAACTAACTCCTAATTGGTGAGTTTCTGTGATAACAATGTGGTTCAGGAATATTAAGAATTAGTGTTCTTAAGAATGTTATGAATAGTGAGTAATATTATTGCAGTTGGCTAACAAATTAGAAATTTCTTCAGTCATCAAGGTATTTTCTCATCTGATCTAATGCATGTGGCAGATGAAGTAAAAGTAAACGTTTCTCTGAAATTGGTTGCACATATTTTCAATGCAGTTGAGGTCTGTAGAAAATACTGACCAATTAATTTTGTTACAGTTTTCTGTGAACACATCTGAAACAAGGTTGAAGGAAGATTTAAAGCCTACCTTACCTACTAAATACTCTGTGAAGGAAAAGGAATGGGCAAAAACTTCTTTGATCTTCATCCAGAACATAGCATAATAATGTAAAATAAAAAGCATATGTTAACTGTTTGAGGTGGACATTTTATTAAGGTGAAAGAAACATTTCAAAACCTAACTTTGATGTTCTTTAACCGTAATTAAGCTGCAGAAAATGTCAATCTACTGTAGGACATCTAACATGGTAGGGAAACTATTGCAGAAAAGCTGAATGTTCACAGCATGATGTGTTATGATTTTGACTTTAATGGAAAACAGAATTCAATTTCATAAAAAGTTTGCTAAGTATTAAATTTGCAACTTATATGTAAAAGCTTTGTTAATTATAATTTTATCTAGAATATAAATTTACAGTATGCTCACCATTCAAATAACATTTTACTATTGCAACTTTGTTTAATTTGGTTTAAAGGATAAGACTGTTTATTTCCATCTTAAAAGGATATACTAATGTAGTGTATGATTTCTGTATACCCATTTTTTAATGTAAGTATAACTAAGCATTAGGCCTGGCATGGCCAGGTGGTTAGGGTACTCCACTTGCAATCTGCAGGTCGCGGGTTCAAATCCTCATCCAACCAAACATGTTCGCCCTTTAAGTCATGGGGGAGCTATAATGTGACGGTCAATACCACTATTCATTGGTAAAAGAGTAGCCCAATAGTTGGCAGTGTGTAGTGATGACTAGCTGCCTTCCCTCTAATCTGTCGCTAAATTATGGATGGCTAGCACAGATAGCCTTCATGTAGCTTTGTGCAAAATTCATAGCAAACTAAGTATTATTTTAAATAGACTACTAAATCTATAATTCGTAATCTAGCTTATTTTTGTTTTTTGGCACATAATTAGTTTCAGTTCAATAGGTGAGTTAGTAAAGGCTGATTTTATGTGTTGGAATTCCAAATATGGAAAAACTTATGCAAAATTGTAGATTATTTTTTAAATTTCAAATGTCATTTTGTGTTAGATTATGAACAAGCTTCTAGACAAGGAAGATTCCCAAAGCCATAAAAATCAAGTACAAAGTACTTATTACACACCACCATCATGTACAGACAGCACTACAGTACTTCAAGGATCTCAGTCTTTGGAAAATGGAGAAGGAGAAAATAATAAAACTGCAGTGCTCTTTGGTGAAAGAATTGATGATGAACAAGTGCAAGATGAAACTGGAAATGTTGTATCAGCAGAAGATATTGTTTCTCGAAGAAAGGCTACTAGTCATTTGGGCTTACCAAAAAGCCATGTTAAAACTAGTGGAGCTCGTGCAAAGGAATCCCATCGTCACAGAAATCGGTATTTTTTTTTAAATTACTTATTCTTATCCCTTTAAAAAAAGGGAGTGTGATAAGGCTCATTATAGTGAATAAATTTTTAAAGAGGTAATGAATAAAAAAAAAGATCATTCTTTTATAGTTAAAGTTATATTACATTTTTATGATATGGCTTTAAGAATCACAATTTTATATAACCTGGTATTTAAGGTAAGACTTTTAAAATGACGTAATAGCTACTGAAAGCTTAATATTTGATTTGTTGAAGGGCCATATCTTAGATATTACATAAGTAGTAGAAACCAGACTTAATCTTTTAATTGTCAGAAACTGATAGATTTGATATGTGGAAATATAACAATATTTTTAAACGTGTATATTTTCAAATACCGAACTAGTGAACGTGGTGATAGTGAAGGAGCTTCTAGCCCAGGCTGGGAAGAAGATTATAAGGCATGGGAGGCAAAATTTCGTTGTACCAATTTCCACACTAGTAAAAAACATTCTGCTGGTAAGTTTTCACTTTAAATTTTAAGATCAAGTTAAATACTTTTATATACAAACATGGTTGAAAAAAAAGGCATAGAAAAGAAACAACTTGGTCAGTATCTTGGCAGAACTGTCTTTGTTAAGTGTGCACTTATCTATCTGCTGTACTTATGTAATCTCCTGTTGTTTGTACATTTTTTAAGCATTCTTGTACTTCCACATTTCATCATGCTGCAACCATATTTTTAAATAAAACTTGGGGGAAACTCGTGCTTAGTGTGTGAAACATTTCATTGGTTGTGGTATTTTGTATTTGAATGCACAAAGTTTTTAAAATGTAATGGAAGTGCTGTGGATTTAAAGTAATTATGGTAAAGTGACGTGCCTAGACTACTCACAATAATAGGTTAGGTATGTAGAGTTCTGAACGAATCTGATGGCTGTGCAGGGTGTCTCAGTAACACATTGCTATGCACAGATAACCTTTGTATAGCTTTACATGAAATTCAGAACAAACAATAGCTGTGGAATATCCTGCTTTAAGCACTTAGAAACTGAAAGAAATATTAGCAAGAAAAGAAAATATATTTGGTAAATTTTCCTTTTTTTTAATTATTTTCAAACACACAAAAAAAATACTGATACAAGGTGTATTAAAATGGTTGCATGACATTACCAGAAAATTCAAGATGTGATATAATCAATAAATTGGTACATTTGTATCAAAAAATCATTTGTAACATATTAAAATACTAAAAAACAGAGAATGTTGATACACTGAGTCAAGCACAGCTGATTAAAGTAAAAATGTGCAAATTAACACTTTATACTTTGTAGGTTATTTATGAACAAACTTCTTAACTACATTTGCTGTAATGTATTTTCAATAATACTGCAACTAAAACTGCCTTTATAATTATTTCTTTCACGTGCGCCCGTTACATTTTATGTATATTTGTATTATTTACGTGTACTTGTTTGCATGTTGTGGATTCATCAGTCACAAAGAATTCACTGCTTATATTGTTTATTTAGTAGTGTCTTTCAAGTAGTTTAAACATGAATTTTATTGAAGTATTTATTTTTATACCAGCACATTTTTTTATTCCATTTTGAGATGATATTCAGAAAATAAGTGTTTAAGAAAGTAGCAGTTTAAATGTGTAATCTTTCATTCACTTTTTCAAAAGAAAATTCCAAGTCTCACACTTTTTTGTTGTTGTTGTATGAGAACAATTTTAATTATCATTTATAACTGATTTAACCAGTTTCTTTCATAATCACTGTTTCCAAAGTATAAATAAATTTGATATTCTTTGATATAAAACAAGCTGAAATTAACTCTTTAAGCACGGGTTTGGTCCCTGGGACCTTTTTCTTAAGAAAAGTTTGATAACTATTTGGACATTATTAAAGATTTTGCATGTGAAATTTAGAAGTTTTCTGATGGATAAAAGTATTTTTAATCTTAAAATAAATATTACTTTGCATGACAGATAGGCAACATGTGAAAAGACTTAATAAAATTAATTTGATATTTTGCTTATGAAAGCATTGTAATGTTTACTGATAATCTGCCAAATTTTGCTAACATTTGCTTACTAATTTAAAAGTTATAGCATGAAAACTATAACAAGCACAAAATGGTTACGAGGTTCCTTTATATTTTATCTGTTATTTTCAGTAATTAATCTGTGTACAGGTTTGGTATATTTGACTGATCTTGCAACCACCATAAAAATTTATGAAATAAATATAGATTATGCCTATTTCATTCTAGAATGAACACAAATTATAACAAGAAAACATAAATGTTTAGACTAAATAGCTTAAATTTCCTAACATTATAAATTTATATATATTTATTATTTTTATTATATTGACCTTTCAGCCATGCCTGGCTAACAATACAGAAGTTACAATGATGTGGCTCACGTGCACTCATGTTACCTTTGGTCTGTAGAAAGTAACTTGTCTTGACTGTGTTTTCATGGAATAGTATTTTGTAAAATACAGTAACATTTCAGTAACTAAAGAAGTAAAACAAACAATTATCTCTTCTAGGTATGATCTTTGTACTCGGTTGGTGCTTGACGTAGGTTGCTAAGTCTTTAAAAAGTTTGCACGTGGAAGATATGAAACAAAATATTTTTTTTAGGTTTTATATATACATTTGAATAACTAAAAAATCATAAATTACTACATCAAACCATAGAATTCCACTATCATTTATTAAGCTTAGTAACTAAGATGTATTTTAGTCTAAAAAAATATGAAATTTCGAACAGACTAAAGACACACTCTACTTTGTTGAAATATTGGTTCAAAAGAAAGAAATGGTCCCAAGCCCATTAAAATGGCTGAGAAAGCCACTAGGGGGACATTCTTAGCTTCTGATTGGTTATTCATGTCATATATAGAAGTAAGTGTATATAATTATATGTGCTATAGAATCATACTTAATGAAAACCTTATTTTCTTTCACTGTATTAACCGTTTCAAGACAGGTCACGGGTGAAAGGCTATGTTCAACATTTTATTGAACTACTATTTCATGAATTTATGTCAATAACTTTGGTATCAAACTGTAGATTATAATTCAAATTTTAGTACTATATATTACTCAATTTCTTAATTGAAAAGCAAATATTAAAAAAACACAGATAAACATCATTTTTGTGTGTCACGTGGTATGTTGAATGCAGCAATGGTTCAAGTTAGATGCTTGTGAAGTGAAAATAATAATTCTATAGTTCTGTACAAATTAGAAACTGAAATTACAGATATTTACAAGCTAGAATATAAAATAAAAGCCTCTTATCTTTTCAATTTGCTAAGATATTGCTCATGTAACAAATCAAACACAGTGGCACCCCACCCACCTCTTTCCATATTTGGAAATGTTTCCTAAAGGACTATAATAACATTAACTTATAATTAATTTCATGTTTGTTTAGACTATGTAACTTGCTAACCAGGTTTATAGCATATAAAGTATACTACAGATTTACAAACATTATATTTGAGTCAACCATTCTTACTGTATATTTATATAAAATTTCTCAAAACTTATTGATAATTGTTGATTACAAAAATGTATAGATGGGTCTTTTTCTTTTCTAAAAAATGAGTTATCATATCTTTTCATCATGCTTATTATAAATTCTAATATAAACTGGAACTATATGTTTAGGCTTATTATGATTTTATATCATTAAATTGAAAATGATTGATGTTTGACTGAAATAAAAGTTTAGAAACAATCACATTATAGCAAATGTAATTTCTAGGTGCTGTAAAGATTTTTCTTAGAAATCATATAACATGGGAAATGAAAAGTACTAACAGTGAAAGCTCATGATTTTAACTAAAACTAGCTGAAAGAAACGTTAGCACGTCAAAGTTCCTGCTATACCACATCAAATGGCAAATATGTGATAATTCTTTCTTCAAAATCATTGCATCCCTTTGGGAATGCAATACCTGGTTTGATTATGTTGCTTTTACTTTCTTCACAATCATCACCTTTACTTGTGTATATTCACAACTTTTTTTTTAAATTTTTAACACTACTTTTGTTATTTTGTTTTATAGCATATTTGAATTTTAAGTGGAAAAATTGAAATTTTTACATGCAGTAAATTATTATCTTTTAGTTCATTACATCATTGCTAATATAAGAAGTTAAGTGGAAATGACTGATTGATAATATTATTGTTGCTTACTTCCAAAGGAATGGCCAGTATAGATAGTAGTGCTCCTGAAACTACTTCTAGTGACAATTCACCAACAGTTGTGAGAAGAAGTACCTGGATAAAAACTGGAGGGCCTGGAAGTGACAGTGGCAGTAGTGGGGAAAGTAGCAATTCTTTTGTTTCCAGTTCTTCTGGTGATAAAGGAACTCGGAACAAAAACAGGGATTCTGAAAGGTCAGATGAAGCACTGTTCTTCTGTTTTTGTTGCTTGACATTTGTTTTTTCTCTCATTAAATAGTGTAATTGAGCTCATTAGTTTATTTTTTTAAATAGTAGCACATAAGTGTTGTTAATAACTGCACCATTCTCAAGACTTCTAGAATGGTCTATTTTATGTTAATACTTATGAAATATAATCATCTATAGTTAAAGCAAGGGTTTGAACAATAGGAAACGTTTTTCCTACATATCAAGAGATAAATAGTTATTCAAAAAAATTCAGGACATCTTTTAAATTGGTATCTGAGCTATTTAGCCAAGGAAAATTATTGATTTGAGGATGAAATAAGATATTTACGGTGTTCCAAATTTTAATTATTTAAATAGTGCAAGCAACCTCATGATTAATATTTAATATTAGCTGAATAATCACTGAATGAAAATGGAAAAAAAAAACTTTCTATTAACCCAAATAAAAAAATAATTTCTCATTATATTACAAAAAATGTGTTTATGGAATCTTGCTTCATCGTGTGATAAGGACTTTCCAACATGGTACAAAGAATGTTTCTCATCAGACTTTATGGTTACTGGGGGCTTCTCATATGATAGGAAATTTAAACTTCACAAAATGTACATTAAAACAAAGCTAGTGTTTAAGAGGATGAAGTGTTAAGTAAGTGTACTTTAGTATTTCAATGAATTGTGGAGAATAAAACTGGTTTTTCTACTTCCAACCCTTCTGTAATGTATCTTTCAACTGTGAAGTCACAGATATAAATATTTCATATTATCCGGTTTAAAAACATGAAATTAATTTGATACACAACATACAAAGAGGTGACACACTGACCAATTTAACTTACTAAAGAAAAACTGGTTCTGAAATATGGTGAAGACTTTATGAGGTTGAAATAGCTTGTAAGTTTTGATGGAAGTACCAGTGCTATGTTGTAAAACTAACAATATCTATGAACATTAAAATTTGTAAATGTTATTATCAACTAGACATGGATACTGAATGTGCTATTTATATCGTGCTTCATACCAATATAGCCCATCTCAAGTTAGCCGTTTTGGAGGAGCTTTTCCTGCTGGAGACAGTTTAAATCGACATATAACAACTACTGTGAAACCAACAAGGTAATTTTGTTTTTTATATGGTTTTCAAGACACTTATTTTTTGGATTAGAAGACTTTTTGTGTTGCTAATGAGACAAAGTTATATAGCTGTAACATGAGACACATATTAATTTAGTCTTGAAACTGTTTTGACTGCTACTAACTACTAAAAAGAAAAGTTTGCACTTACACGAAGTGTATTTGTAAAAACAAATATTTTAAATGTTGTGTTCTAAAACTCTAACTGGTAAATCTCATATAAAGATATCCTAACATTGGATGCTTTTACTAAACCTTATAATGTGTTCATTAATAAATGAACTAAATCATTTTCATTAACACATACTTGGAAAAATATATTGGCACTGATGTTACATCTTGAAAAGGAAATTTTATTTTAAACTGAGTATCTGATAACTATTGAAACTTCTCAGACAATTATGCTTTTTTTCCATATTGTTTAACAGCAAATGTTTCCTGATTACATCTCAATTTTCCCAGTAATATATCAGTAGGAATGCTTGCACTTCTGAAAAACTCATAAGACAGTATATATTTTAGATTTGTACGTTATTTTAATCTTTGCTATGGGCATCTTTTTCTATGTATGTCACAGGGTTTTAGTGAGTTACATTCAAAATTTAATTAAACTACTTTCTTATCATGGTATATGAATATATTTGGCATAAAAACATAACTAATAATCCAAGTTTTAATAGTATACAAGTTTTAAGTTCTTAATTTTATAAGGCAATATTTAAAAAAATCTTGAATTTCCCCTAGTACATGAATTGTGACATTTTCTCTGTAGGTATCCCCCTCTTCTTTAATTTATTTACCGCCACTGTAATAAGTACATAAATTACTCATTATAATGTTGTCATTGCTCAGGCAAAACATAGTTTTATATCCTTCAATCCTATATAGTTATAGAGCCAAAAGATAGAAAATCAGACCCATCTTACCATGCCCATTTGTCACATCCCCTCTTTCAGGAATTGCCAGTGGTATTCTCTGATGTTTAACACTAAGTTTATGGGAGTGTACCCAAGTAGGCTCTCTTATAACCAACAAAACAACATGAATATATAAACATACTTTTTTGAACTTATAGGTTTCAAATTTCATTTGGATAACCCCTAGAACCTCCAAAGTGAATATCAAAAGTTCTTTTTAATTGGAGTTAAATATTTTTTTTTCACTTTCTCTATGATATTACTAACTGTAGCTATTATCCTCAACTTATACTATATAATCTATAGTACATTACCATGAAATGTTTAAAATTAAGACATAGGAAAAATGTACATACCTTTTAACTCTTTCGACATGGGCTCGGTCCCTGAGACTGACCTTATAACCATAACCTTGTTATAGTTTACATACTAATAACTTTTAATATTTTAAGTGTTTCATTACAAAATTTTGTAGACTTGTAGTAAACATTAGAAGCCTTTTGCACACAAAAAATCTGATTTTTTTAATCAAGTATTTTTACTTAAATTTGTCTGTGAAAATATCGATTCTTTTTTAAACTAGTCTGATTGCAAAGTGGTTTTCATGTCAAAATTAAAAATACTTTTCGTCATCTAAAAAATCTCAAATTTGCTTTGTGTAATCCCTAAAACCTTCTAAATGCATTTCAAACGTTTTTTTTTTTTTACTAAATCCTTGTGCCCGGCATGGCCAGGTGGATAAGGTGCTCGACTCACAAC